CCAAGACAGTCTCAAAGAGGAGTGGACAGGCTGGACTGAACCATGTTCTTCTATTTAAATTCAAAATAAAAAAGTGAGTTTAAAAGGATCCTAAACCCAGGATGCTGTTTTTACCTTTGGGGTGGAGGCTTTTTCCTCCACGTTTTCCTCATTGTATCAGATTACAATCAAACATAGCAAAACTCACACGGATTTGACACAAGGTTGTAGCTTTACAAACAAGTATAACAGAGACCCAGGTTTCAGAGTTTTTCCTTCATGTGACTCCACTGATGTCCTCACAGATGTACTTCTATTACTTCTGACATGCAACACACTAAAATAAAGTGTTTTACATTTTGAGAGAGGCCATTTGCAGTTTCTCCTCTGTTTTGGTAAAACAAGACAGGTGTCACGTCTACCAGGAAAGAGAGAGAGAGAGAGAGAGAGAGTTTCATTTACCTATTTTCTGTGTTATGAAAAAAAAAAACCAACCCAAAACTCCTCTGACTGCCTCTGTTAATACCCAGGTGTGTTCACCTGTCCCCAGGTCAAGAAATTTGCATAACAGCTGCCTGGGTGACTGATGGGAAGAGATCCATGTGTGTTACCCACTCAAAAAAAAATGTGATCTAACAGAATGTGAAAATGATCAAACAAGATCATTGGTATTTACACAACAGCAAAATCCTTCTGAAGATCATTCCAAAAATACAGCTAGACCAGGACAAAGAAGAAATGACAGACATCCAAGGTGCGTTGAGAAGAGGCTGTGTGACACCAGCCATTCTCAGTGGGGATGTCACTGGCTGAACGCAGAGAATCCCAGAAGCATCTCAATCGATGTTTTATCTATTATGCCCAAGCATGTCTATGGATCATAACAAATCTATGAAACATGGGAGTTCCAAAACCACTGCATGGCATTGAATTGAAATCTAAAATGAGACCAAGAAGAAAAGTCACAATTCCCACTCAAGCGCACACAAGCCACCATCTATATCCAAAAGATTGTAAAATGCCCCCAAAAAGCAGAGGACGCACTCTGAAGCATGGTCTCCCAGAGAAATTTCTCATTTCTTCTTTGTCCTGGTCTAGCTGTATTTTTGGAATGATCTTCAGAAGGATTTTGCTGTTGTGTAAATACCAATGATCTGGTTTGGTTTTGTTTTGTTTTGTTTTCACTGCATGACCCCCTCTGTACGATTTACTGACCACCTTCCACAGGTATGGATGCTTCTGTGGTCATCCTTCCTCAGGCTGGACCACAACAAAGGAAAATAAAGTCCCATGTGCATTTAGAAGCAAGAAGATAGGACCTTGTCTAATCTGAAGCCCACTTTGCTCTTTTACACAGGGACCCCTGCGGCACTTTTAATACTTGACAGGACATTCAATGCTCTGTACACAACCCAGGAGCAAAATGTGGAAGAGATCATCAATTTCCTCATGTGTGGCTACAAACAGAAGCTGAAGATACTGGCAACATTGCTTTTGAGCAACTAGGAGAGGTCGTTCATAGCTGGTTGTCCCAAAGCAACACACCTCTGGATTCCTTGATGGCTGCAAACATTGGTTTTAGAAAAGATTATAGCATGAGGAATATCATTGCTGAGGCCCGATGCATCTTGGCAGAAGAAGGTGACCTTTGGATTTATTTGACTATGTTTACTTAGACGGTAATGACAAAATAGACAAGGCACAGACATTTGACTGTGTGGATATTAGCAAACTGTGTCTCACACTGAGAGAAACAGAAATCTGCAAACACGTTCTTTGTACTCTTGAGAGACCTACACTTAGACCAGGACACAGTTGTTGGAATAGAACAGAAACACTGCATGGTTCAAAATTGTGAAGGGCGTACGCCAGGGATGCATCCTATCTCCAT